TGTGTGCTGACGTGGACAAGCAGTTAAACCATGAAAAAAGTGGTTAAAAGACGTGAGAAGACAGTTTCAAACAAACTGGAACGTGGTTGTAACCGCTTCTTTGGCCACGCCGGTCCACAGTGGCGCGCCAATAGCCGCGACAGTGTAGACTGGTACGCCCAAAGAGCAGTCACTTGGTCAGTTATTTCGTCCCTGTTTCCACTGTTGTGCACTCCTATCCCTATAAATACCTACCTAGACACGAAATAAAAGGGGAGAGCAGATTGGAGCATAGAGACTGGAGCTTTGGGTGAATTGGAGCAAGAGAGAGAGTCTTCCTTCTTCACAAATATCCTCAAGAAGCTTTTAGCGATTCCTAGAGATCTAAGCTCTGACTTGATCTTTAGAAGAGTGAACATCTTACATCGATAAGATATTCACTTTAAATTCTTACTTCGATAAACGAAGGAAGAATTCCCAAAACCTTCACGATTCAATCAGAATCTATGAATCGGTGGTCCACGGGCTAACGCACCTCCGGCACAGGCAAAGATCCCACGCAAGCAGCGATCTAAATAACGACCCTGCGTTTGTTTCTAAGGAGCTTGTAATTTGATTTTTGTTGTAAAGAGTAGTTTTACAAAGTACGAAACTCACTCTTTTGCATTCATTGTAATCGATAAACAGTTATAATGAATTCTACAACAGAACTTGTTCCTGACGCAAACAATATATATATATATATATATATATATATATATATATGTATATATATATATATATATATATATATATATATATATATATATATATATATATATATATATATATATATATATATATATATATATATATATATATATATATATATATATATGTGTGTGTGTGTGTATATATATATATATAGAGAGAGAGAGAGAGAGAGAGAGAGAGATGGAGAACCTTAGTACCAAGTTTCCCTATTAAACTTGGTAGTAATGTGGCCAGATCTGGCCCTTACACCACGCCTCGAAGATAGAGTCTCAATCACTATTCACCTACTCCAAAAAAGATGCTTCATCTTCGAGGCGTGATATAGAGGCAAATGTGGTCACATCACTACCATGTAAAATTTTCTCCCTACTTTATTCTCTCTCCTTCACATGGTGGGGATTGTATCACATCATTATCAATGAGGAAAATCCTCTCTTTGTCAAGGATACCCACTTATATATATATATATGTGTGTGTGTGTGTGTGTGTGTG